ATTTCTATTATAATAACAAGATTTATTAAATAACAAGGCAAGAACGGTTTTATCCGCTTAAATTTTAATTAAAATGTAAAGGAATCTTACGTATTGGAGATTGGTTTTCGACGTCACGGTCGGTTCCAATTTCCACGTTTCTTAGTTACCTATAGATACATATAACTGAGTTTATTGTTGTCAATATTTCTGGAAATGACCCAATTTATAATCCCGAGCCCTCATTCATCTTTACCTTAAAATTAATACAAGCTCTTTAGAATGTTCTTCTATGATATTATTATTTTAAGCACCTCATAAAACGTACGATGTACGTTGAGATTGCTACAAGTTTTATTTTACAAGATTTCATATTCCACCACTTAAGAAATATTTTTTTTTTAATGTAATAAGTCGGCAAACGAGCAGACGAGAGCCTGATGGTAAGCAATCAACGCCGCCCATGGACACCCGCAACGGAGGAGTTACGAGTGCGTTGCCGACCTTTTAGGGATTAGGGATTTGGAGATTTAGGGATTGGGGAAGGATCCGGGAAGGGGAAGGATTGGGCCTCCGGTAACCTCACTCACACGGCGAAACACAACGCTGTGGTTGTTTCACGCCGGTTGTCTGTGAGGCCGTGGTATCACTCCGGTCGAGCCGACCCATTCTTGCTGAAGCATGGCTCTCCCACACTTGAAAAAATAAAAAATAAATCAAAAACAAAATAACGTGGGTACCTACCTGGATATTGTTAAAACACCGTTTCATCTTACAAATTATGTTAATTTTTCTTTCCACTACGCGAACGGAAAGAACCGACGAAAGAAAAGTTGAAGAAAAAGTACCTAACTTAAGAATTTTTAAGACTTTTGCTTAACACATTTTTTTAAGGCTTTGTCTTGTTCCTTTGAAGTGAAGTCACTTTTGAAGTTTCTTGGACTATATAAAACTAAATATATAAGTCCACAAACAGGTGGACCCTAGAATGTAAATTGATTCGAATGCTCCGGCACCGTCGCACAATTAAAAGGATCGGAATTGTTAAGTTCAACTGACTTTCTAACTTACAAACTGAAACAAATTAAATTATGTCGGTTGAAATAGTAACTAAGCGAAGCGACAAATTATTTAGGTAAGCGTATTCTTGTTTCTTAATTGTAGCTGAGTTCCACTTTTTACACGAGCTTCATAAGAATAGCTAGCAGGTACTAACTGAAACAAAAACAGACGAGAAGGTGCAGACAGAAAAAGAAAATGAGAAAAACATTTCTACGTAAGACTAGAAAAGAAAATTAAATAACTTACACTGTAAGTCTGCTTTTACCGAATGGTTTGACTGGGACATAAAAGGAACTTAGCATATTAGGTAATCTTTTCACCTCCTAACGTGTTTTTTTTTATAACCTTCTTAATTAGGCATAGACAAAAATCAACAATATAAAATCCTTCTCGAAAAGCTTTTCGCTAAGCCCATGCCTTTGGAGGTTCGGATTTCTAAACCCCGAAATGACTGAATGTTATAGACCTTAGAATGACAACCGTAAAGACTACAGTAGATATTATTGGGGTAACTTTTAGGGTTATTTAGTGAAAAACTTACCGCGTACCGTATTTAAATAAGTATTTTTTATAGTAAAAAGATCTTTTTTAAACTTTGTCTAACACTAGGATTTTCTCCTGTGTCGTGGGTGCGTTTACAAACAGTTTACAAACATGCAAATTTCACATACACATCAGACCAGGAACAAGAATTTGTAGATCACACAAAAAGTTTTTATCTGCAGGAATGCAACCCACGAAAGGTTGCATTTTGGCCAACGTGTCAACCGAACAGTGTATGAATTTAAATAAAAAGAACAACTAAACAAGACATATTTTAAATATAAATTGGCTTTAAAATACAGATCGAACGAGCACGACGAAGTATCACAGTACCTAGTTAATTGAAGGTAGTAAAATGCTATTAACCTACTGACGCTTTTATAAATAATAGCCTATAAAATGACTGTAGATCAATAATAATTATTTTTCTTTAATCGATTTTAATTAACTTTCATCACATCGAATGACATTTATTTTAACGAGATACATAGGTTTAACTAGTTGTAGGTAGGTGAGTCAAATTCATCAAAGGTGCACAAAGTCACTCTCCATCAGTTTGCATTGAATTTAAAATCCATTCCGCGATGTCCGAGTTCTTTGTTGTAGTAAATTCATTCATTTCGATTTAGTCCCAGGCGATAGACACAGACAGACAGACGTCAGAGAGACCTGTTTCATATCTATGTAAGTGACGCGGAAAGGTAATCTGCTGATCTGAACTTTTTGATACGATTTTTTAAGGTTGATACCATCCGTCTTCGTTTACGCTAAGCGTTTAAATGTATTTTGCATTAACACAAATCCTATTCTTAATATGATATTTAGAAAGATATTTTTAACAAAAAACCGATTTCCGAACGATACCTCATCCGACCTTGAGCTAAAATTAGATCCATCACTGTTTCCGACAAAAAACGTCTGATCTATATTTCCCCAATCTTTTGGGAGCTATTTGTTAATTAGATAGTTTGTACATGTTTCGGTACTGAAGTCAATTATAAACGCCCACATATTGACATAGGTTTATTTGGAAAATTAATGTCGTTGTAAGGTACCAGCTTCGGCCCGCGTGGTGGATAAAAACTAGCCTATGTGTTAATCCAGGGGAAAAAGGGGTTGCGTCAAAGAGTAAAAAAAACATAGATTCTTACAAACTTCACGTTTATAATAGATGTAAGTAGAATATTAGGATGTTTTTGTAGGTAAAATATATCATTTAATGTGAATAAAAAATCCTTCGTAAATAAATATAAACAAAGTCGTACCAACTGTACATTGCAGAGTAGATAATAAATGGTGAAAACAAAATAAATTTATTTCCAGTTGACAGGCAGCGCTACCTATGTATACTTACATACCTAAGCCAAGACATTCTTTGTTGCCCGGTGACTCGTAGCGTACAGCGACATTTGTTTTCATCCGAGCTCCTGAAATACAATGTCTCTATTAAGTACGAAAAGATTTAAGATTATCCTCCCAAAATAAATCGTGTTAACTGAAACTGTTTTGTAGGTCGTTTTATTAATTAATTAGAAGGGAAATTTAACTAACTAAATACAAATAATTTTGTATGTAGTGTACACACACTTATACCTAAGGCATCTAACCTATCTATACTTATAATAAATCTGTAGAGAGGTCAATTCGGTACATTAGTTAGATCCGCACCATTCTATATATCGACGGACGGATAGCGGAAACTTTAATTAATAGTATTTACCTAGCCATAAAAATGAGACGATTAATAACAAATTTAACGTATACTTCGATTTTGTACTATTGCTATAGGCTGCTTTTTATCAACACAGCACGCGGGCGAAGCCGCTAGCGAAAGCTAGTATCTGAATATGAGAGCTGGGTGTCTTCAAGGCCCGAGTAAATAGGTTGCTTATAGGTAGGCATGCTCAATCGTAGGTCGCATTATCGTATACCACCAGGCGTAATAGCGGTCAAATGCTCGCTGCCCATTCCGAAATAAAAAAAGTCTGTATCCAGGAACTTGGAAATTGATCCAACGATTTTGATGGAATTTTGTTTGGTTAATGTTGAAGGGATGAAAAATCAATCTAGCTAGGTTTCATGTTCAGAAAATTAATGAACAATACCGAGTTAAGCTCAGTTATGTTATATTTTTTGTTGTTAAGTATAGGTATTACTGTGGCTCGGTTTTCCAGGTATAGCTTATTAATTATAAAAACAACTGGACTAGATAGTCATTCTCGTAACCTTCAAGCCATCTCGCAAGCTTGTTCTGTATTTACTGACTGTAAGCAGGATAAAACATCATATCACTATAAGTACCTAACTGTTGGTAAACCTTGTAAATAAAAATCACAGTAAACCATTAACTAGGTTCACATTTAACTTTATGATTTTAATACAACACGAAAGTGTAGTAAAATATTGAAACATTTGAAATTCAAAGCTAGAGTTTTTCGTACAAATAAAGTATCATGGATAAATTGAAAGTTTGCAGACTAAAAGAGGTGTGATATTAGCATAATTTTGTACGCACAATTCATACTAAATAACTTTATAACAATCACGTAGGTATAGATACATATGTAGATAGGACATCGGAACCGTATTGCGTCCCTAGAGTACATAGACAGACGGACATGGTGCGAACCTTTGGACAAGGGTTTCCAGTTTGACAATAGAACCTTACACCACTACAAATTTATAGCAAATAATGTACAAACTTTAACGTAGTCCCTTCATTATAACTATTCCGTCTTGACCTATTATCATATCGTTTTAACTTTTCCCGACGAGGTTTAAGTGTCTAGTGTATCTAGGTCGTAATACAAACTTAGTAGATGGTCACCTGAATATCTTATAGGCACTGTTACATGTTTCGCGCATAAATATGACCTACATTTATGATACCGCACAGTTCCTCATAAGATTCTCTGTGTAAAAAAGCTGAACACAAGGTTTAACGTCTATTGAGATTATAAAATTGATCGATGCCCAAAGGTGAGTCATTATTGGTTGTAAAAGAGATACGAGCTACATAAAAAATATCACGAGGCGGGAACTCGAACACAAACCATGGCGAACGAGGCCGTTAACTTTTTACGCAATGGCAATTTGCGGTCGCTACCACAGACAGGCCATAGCTATACCATGGTTTATAAAACATGTGAGCATGATACCAACATGATATCTCACAATTTAAGGAAACGTCCACATGTTTAAAGGAACCCTATATACCCCAGATATGCTTGACCGAGATTTGACATACCTTGAGGTCGGAAGAACGGAGATGGTTCATAAATGATCCACATTTTTGTTGTACCCCGAGGAAAGATAGGCACTTAGGTAATATAAACAGCCTTTATACAGAGTAGATGCGTGGTTTCAGACTTAGATTTAGTACCATAAGAGTTCATATAAAATTTATGTCCTCTCAGGCCACTTCACATCGATGCGTTGCTACCTTCTAAAGTGGCTCCTAGACTATAATGACTGCAGTAGTGGCGATGAGCACGACGACGTCACCGAAGACTTCGCTTGCCAAGCTCGTGCTGTACCCTAAGCCTAAGCCCTTCAAGGTCATGGTGCTAGGTCAGTCCGGAGTGGGTAAATCTGGTAAGATCAAAAAGAAAATCTCATATTAATATCTAATTTATATAACGTAAGCTTATAACAGTCTAACCTCATTTCATATTTTCTCAGGAAAAATATTTTGTCATCGCTTTTTGCCTACATTTTTCAAATAAATATGTTTATATGTATACCTACGTTACAATAAACCTTTATACCTATGTATTTGGAGATCTTTATTTTGCGTATATTTGTTATTTTCTGGCCTTAGCAATAAGTCTCAACTTATATTTTTACGATAACGATCTCATTTTTACCCAAGTAAATATTTTATTAATAATTAGGCAACTTATCTTCCAGCTCTCGTGGTTAGATTTATTACTCGAAGATTCATCGGCGAATACGATCCCAATTTAGAGAAGATCTACGCATTCCAAACTGTCATTGATAACGAGATGGTTTATTTTGAAATATTAGATTCAGCTGGCGAATCACACGTAAGTTTCATATAACGCTGACATAACATTGTGAATTTTATTGCAAATAAAAGTTTTCTAATTTTCGTCCGTAGTCTAAACAGTGTTCGCACGCCCGAAATCTATCTCTTATCACTCAATTCCTACGTTAAACAAATTTGAACTGATATTCGTTTTGTTACACCATGAAAATAAACACGCTGATTCATAAATGTATTTTTATTGCACTCAGGAAAGTGAATACGCGAATCTCGAGAGCAACATACGTTGGGCGGAGGCGTTCATTCTAATGTATTCGGTCACGGACAAGTGCTCGTTCGACGAGTGCCACCGACTCAAATTCCTCATCAACTACAACAAGAGGAGACGCCGACTCGCTTCCTCTATGAGGGTGAGTCATGCATGATCAACTTCCTACAAAAATATATTTTAACATCCTTATTTTTCTGTCTAAATATCACTAGCATTCTTAGAAAAAAAAATTACCTACCTTCCACAAACCTATCTACCGTTTCTGAGTTTTCCAATATCTCGGGTAAAAGGCCCTTCAATAAAGGTCAGATTATTTTCAATCAAGTATAATGCTACTATTTACGTCCTTCGAATTGCGTGTTGAATAGTCAATCAATTTTACCAATCGTCTTAGATTTTACGTGACGGAGGTCGGTAATGCACGTGAAATCAACAAAATGCCGAATTGCCAGAACCATTTCCCTTACTTTTATACAATTATAGCCACTTCCTATTTTTGCTAGCTTTAATCTTCTACGTTTTCTCTCAAATCGTTTTAGGTTTTTATTTTATTTTGTTTGGAGAAATGACGCAAAAAAGATCGCTTTCTCATATAAATTATATTTTCAAACGCCATTCTATCTCTACCGATAGCGACTTTAATAAGGCTTCGCTTTATTTCGAGGAGGTCGGCTGATCTTATTTCAGATCCCCCAACAGAGTCAAAATAAACATAAACAAGGGAGTCTGTACCTACACTCATAGCTACAGCGGATACAAACACGTATACGAATACACGCTCAGAATGAAATAATTGTCCTTTTTGCGTTCTTCCTTAATAGTCTTCAGGCTGTTTGCCTTTCCTTATCCTTTCCAAATACGCACTTCTAATGATCCAATGGTAATACTATCTGGATTTTGATAATCTCTCTAAATAGCAGATAATCTCCATCATCATCATTTGCAGCTTTTAGCAACCCTCGTCTGCAATCTTATTTTACTCCATTTCCTCTTATTTTAAGCTCCGTAAATAATGATAGAATAATGAACAACCTTTACTTTAAATTTAATGGTCATTTTAAATCCTTCCTTGAAAAATCTTCATTTACGGAGTTGCTTAGTCAAAACTGACATTTGATACTTGTTTGAAATAGTTTTAAGGGAACCGAAAATCACAATTATAAGTTGAATCGTGTACTTTTCTGAATTACTTAAATGTGAGACGTAACTCAGTTATAAGTTTTGGGTTGAAGTCAGAGATTTGACTTCTCAAAGTTTGACCAAGGGATTTTATTTACTATTAATTTTGTCCCGGGATTTCTACGCAGTGATGACTTTGAGGGGCTCTTAATTCTGTTGAATTTTGTTTCCAGGATTCTGCTATCGAAACCCCAGTAGTGATGGTTGGCAACAAGGTAGACCAAGTTGGCGACCGAATGGTCACAACTGAAGAAGGCCAGCGGCGAAGCAAGGAGATCGGCTGCGTGTGCTTTCACGAGATCTCAGTTAGGGAGAGCATTGACCAGGTAATTTGATTCAAAGCTTTATATTTGCATTAAAAACAATAATAATCCAAGAACACTTACATTTGCATATGTCAAAATACAAAACGTTAACATCTAGTTACGCTCTAGGTTTTCCCAGAGGCAGTCAAAATAGTCGTAGCATTCATTTCATAACAGGACTCATAATTAATGATAAACAATAGACAGAACAAATATACTGTTGTGAAAACATTAAAAACAAATGCAACCGAATGGGTTTCTGTTAAACTTTAGATGCAATAAAAGTCATGTAGGAGAGAAGGGTTTTTCAATTTTGTGTAAATGAAAAATTCCATTGCGTTCTCGCCACGCTCTGTAGAGTTTAACTGACACTACAAATCCATTAATAAAACTATTAAACTCTTCCAAAATACAGTTCTGTAATCTTTGTCATTTGGTCACAACTCACAAATTAAATGAAAGGTTTTGAAACTAACAATTTCTAAACTACATTATACACCATCTAGCCTGTCACACCTAGCCTATAAGTGCCCACTAACGCAAAGGTATCTTCTCATACGGCGAAAAGACGCTTTCTTTAGGCAGGCTGGCGATTTTAAACTTGTAAATATAATTACCATCATAATGTCAAAAGCAATGTCCAAAAAAATAACTGATAGTTAGTACAAAATATATATATATACTACATGTAAAGCAAACGTCCACAACTAAATTCACTTGGAAAAAATAAAGGTATCTGTAAAGCACCGAAAATGAAAGGATCTGCATGTTGCCTGTTAATATTTTTCAAAGAGGTAATCTGAACATTTCCGCAATGACGCTTAATTTCGTAAATCCCTTTCATCCTAATAAATTGCTACCAAATCACATAAACCCAATATGCTACCATGTTTCAGGGTAATATCGAAGCCATTACTCGTATTTTCTTAATCAAAGCAGCTACAAAACATCGTTTATTGCTATAATGGTCATAACATCTTGCTCGCTAATCAAAGAGAGAGAAAAAAACAATAAGTTCGACATGTACTTATTAAATAAAAAACAAACAACCTTAAAATGTAATGCGCAGAAAGTTGTATCAACATAATTCGATTATGCAGGATGTCATTCATTGCGAAGTCTCTTATGAAGTTATAAGTTACTAACTAGCTCTTCGCCCTGCGAAAACGTAATGACTTTATACATGTTTAGCTTCAAGAATGTATATTAATATGATCTGTTTAATTTATTCTATATGCCTTTAGTAACTACAAATCAAAGAGTAAAAGTATGAAAAATCCTAGCACGTTACAAAATTTCGCGTCGTAGATACAATATATAGTATAAGCGCAGGTCTGCGGACGGCAAATAAAAGTCGCTCACCGCCCAACTAGTACGTAGATTTCCACGCGCACCTTAATGATCCAACAGAATACCACAGATGGCTCCCAACTGGGGTCGGTCTTCAGACGGGTCTGGGGATCAAGCGCAATAGTGGTTTATGATCACTCCCTGTCGCCCCACCCAGGGCAAGAGAACAAATTGGATACTACCCCGCCTCAAAAAAAAAACATTGTAGGTATAATAAAACTATTTTCTCGAATCTCACAAAGTCCTTGAATAAACTGAATACATATAAAAAATAACTGAAGAATAGTTTACAATACCTTGTGCTCTATTTTTTTCACTTCACTAGATTCAAATATTTGGCTGATCCGCACATAATATAATATACAATATTGTATGTATACTCGAAGCATCTTGTATTATACACAAAAGAATCTATTTTACGGTCAGAATTAGGGAGAAAAACTTAAGAGAGTGTTTCAATAAAGCGTGGGACGAAGACACAATGTTGTCGTTAGAAACGTGGTTTATCTGTGAAATAAAACTTTTTTGTGGTTCAAGGATACTTAAGATAATCTCCGCTACGAATCTCTTTTGTAACACTACGTGGAGCTTTACGAATAAATGAAACTTAAATATGTTACAACATAAAATTGTTGACTGTTTTACAAATACTTAAGGTTTACAAACTGATCGGTTTTAAATCTGCTGAGTTCAGTTGAATTACAATCAGCAACCTGTTAACAACCCGGGCCCGAACCATAACCAGATATTTCGATGGGGGTAGTGGGGGTAGATTTGCGTATTATCTTTCTTTTTTACTCCTCTTGATTATATGGCTATTGTCATCATTTAGTATTAGTTTGAATGAGATTGTGTTGGAAGTATTATATCATATTATACCTACTTACTTATGAACCTTATGAGTAAGTACTTTTTATAAGTACATAATAAAAATAGGCTGTTTTTTTTCCTTCTATACAAATATCTTTTGTGGGTGTATCATACATGTATGTGATCTTACAAACTACAATTTGACATCCACAGACCTAAAACAACAACATGTATGGATAGCACAAAGCGTTGTTCGGTGGGGGTATTGAACCCGCAACACGCTGCACGGCAGCCGGTTGCCCAGCTACAGCGCCAATCGAGCAGTCAAAATAAACGAATGACTGCAATCGTACGTATCACGGTTCGAGCCTTTTGTCCATATATATATGTACCTGCCAGAGAAATTCGGTTATAAAGGCATTACATATTACGTGCATATATGCTCATCCAATTTCCGCTTTGCTGAATATGGAAATGCAATTTAATGAAGTCAGCCGAGGCCGTAATGACACATCGCCAGCTAGCAGTCTACGTACGAAACGTAGATCTTTTAGAGATATCGACTTTCTATGTTGTTAGCATTCAAGATTAATAATCTATATCTATACTAATGTTATTAAGCGAAAGTAGAGTTACTTTCGCATTTATATCTGTCTATCTTTTCTTCACGCCTAAACTACTGAACCGATTTCTGTGAAATTTGGTACCCTATGTACCAAATTACATTATTCATCACAATTTTAAATTACATAGTTTGGAAATCGAGATAGGACATAGGATAGTTTTATACCAAAAATCTGCAGGAAGTCACTATTCAACGTAAACGGAGTCGCTGCCAAAAGCTAGTTAATAATAATTCAAGTATAATAAATAAATAATCTAGTTAAAATTTGTTGACATTCATCAGTTTAATCCTAAAGGTACAATTAGAAGACAAGTAGAAGAAGGTAAAGGTAGGTAGAAATTTAAAAATAAAGGCTTGTTTTATAGAGTTCAGAAATTCAAGTAGAACAGTAGATACATAGACAGTTAGTGGGTAGTGTAATTAGTTTATTACCTTGCTATTCAAATAAATAAATAAGTACATTAATAAAAATGACTAAAATAAAAAAAATCTTCCATTTTAATAGTCATGTTCCTACCTAAAACATCTACTTAGCAATAAACTGCGCCACTTTATAATAACTAGCAAACAATATGTAGAATCACCCCAACCGTTCGCCCCAACTTCCAATATCACCGAATCGGTGGAAATGACGAAGCTTTGTGGTCTATTTACATAAGTGCCTACTTACTTAGTTACTTACTCAACGGCCGTGTACAGTAATTTAACTTTGCAATCCCAACCAATTTATACGTAAGTCTGTTCCTGACATGTTCGATTTATTGTGGGGTGAGGAGTTTCGCCATTATCCGAGCTCGGTCCTTCAAGACTTAGCCTTTCAGAACAATTTGTATATTGCGTTGCTGATTGGAAAATATGCACTGAACTGAACTTCTAAATAAGTAATGTCAGTCGCTAAAAGTAGTTAGGATTAAGGCTTACACATGGTTTTTGTATAAAAGATAACCTGGTCTATTACACAAAAACCAAGTGACTAGAGTCGCACCAAGAAAATTCCTTCAGATTCATCCGACTCCAGCCAGATCCAAACTTCGTGTAAATCCCATTGAGTAAAGACCATCATACACAAACAAACATCATGTTTTCAAGCAGTTTATTAAGATCTTTCATTATAACCGGAAAATACTTATAACATTTTACGCCTAATGGAAATTTTTGTTGAACTTTAATGAAGTTTCAGAAGTTCTTAATTAAGTTTAAATATTTTGAAAATTTATCAACCCCCCCGTCTTATATTCATTAACAAGCACCGATAAATCGGAAGGTTTAAAAGAGAACCAGTTCATATTTCTTTTAATGAACTCCCTTCGTCGGTTGAATATATTTTGAGGACGTTTTCATCGATTTTTAAGCCTTGAAAAAACTGTCACGTTGCTTCAGTTGTGTACTAGGTAATTAGATTTGATAGACCCTACAGATGGGGCCCAACATGGCCGATGTTCAGCCGGGGTTGCGGTCTACCGCAGCCCCAGCCTGGAGCAGGAGAAGAGACGGGGTGGTTTTTAGTCAGTAAGAGTCTGGCAGTCCCTCTCACCTCACAATGGGTGAGATATTTGATGATTTATCCCCGTCGTAACAAACTGCAATATAGATACATAAACGACATGAAAGGTTGGCAGTCTGTCCCGTTAACAAGTGGCGACTGTTATTCGTTTTATTTTAAAAGAAGAAGAAAATTGAACCGTCGAATGTCAACAGGTATAAAACGGTCGCGGTCGCGTGAACCGGTAAATGTGTATTTATTTTTACTGGAAAATGATTTGCTATTTCCTACGACATGGTTACTGTAAAGTTTTATTTATATCGTTCGACTCATTCGTAGGTGTTGAGGTGGTGTGTTAAACGTACGGTACAGCGGAACATATAGTTTTATATTATTATTATCTATAAATTATAATGCACTATCTTTACCTAAGAATTAATAAGCATAAATATTGATTTCAATAAGTGTATTTCCTTTTAGAAAGGTCAGAAGCTGAGCGTACTTCAATTACTTACACAAAACCAAGACAGAAAATAAAATAACTTTGTTTTAAATATGTATGAGTAAGCATGTTTTGTATCAAGTTAATTAATATGCCTTTAAGCCTAAGCATGTCAATGTGATGGATAGTGCCGCTATAAACTTATCATTAAATATGTATCCATTTCAAGCATCCGCTTAAGTATTTATAGATGTTCCGTGATAAACGAACATGCAACCAGACCCACTTTTATTACTTCCAATCTAAAATTATTTCCAGACTTGAATACTGTTTCTGGATTCTGATCGAATTGTAGTGTCTGTATTGATCTGGCACTTATCCAGTTACAAGTAAACTGATTTTACAAAGGCTAGGGGTCACATAAATATAAGAATCACTCCGTGTTGCTTATTTTATTATGTCAGACTTATCGAACGTAAGTACGTAATTAGTGGACTTTATGGAGGTCAATGACATAATTTTGTTGGGATCATATTAGTGCAACTTCTTTTCATAACAATATTGTGTTATGAATGATGACATCTTGACATACATAATCATCATCGTCTTTATTAGAAAAGAGATATATAAGAACTTAAACCTTACTATTTTGTTGCTCAGGTATGGGGTGTATTCCGTGATGCGCGGCGGTTCTGGCGCGTGAGCAGCAAATGGTCGAAGAGAGATGGTGAGAGACATCCTCCAGCACTGGGACGGCCCCTGGCACGAGCGTCATCCGATACGACGCCAGATACAAACGCCGCACCACCTTTCTGTAAGTATCTCACTTGTGTAGCAGAATATAAGTGCACTAAGAAAACAATCTCAGTATTACCACATAGGTTTAATTCCAATAAAAAATCCGACTGTAGATTAAAAGTAGGAACATTGGATGTAAAACTAGTTGACCATAATAAAATCTCTTTATAATTCGCCCTGTCCCAAAAATTTAACGTAGGTATCATCCGGATAACAAAATGACGGCCGCGCTGAAAAATACAGCATAACCTTTTCACCGGTAACGAGACCCGCGGGAAATTTAAATTCTAAGGGAACAATACAACGCCGAGCTTTCATAAATTGTTGTTAATGCGAGGGAAGAAAGACAGAAAGATCTCGTAATTAGTCTGTCTGTTGTACTAGATGTACGTAAGTTGCATTGTTTAAAGTTATCGCTTAACCCCTTGTGATTTCCTGAATGTTAGACCCGCTATAAGCCCAAAAATAACATCGTGTATACACAAGCTACAGACATTTCTAGGGACTGATTATCTCGGTCATAATAATGTAGCCAGTTTTGTTGTGGCGATTTGTAGGATCATATAATGAGCCTCTAGGGACAGGGTACAATATTGTACCTACCAATTACTGGACAAAATACACCTGAGGAAAATATCGAGCTTTCGAAATAGGTTGATGTTATTTTAGGTTTGTTTGATTTGACACTCGTTCGTAAATACATGTGAGAGCACTTCAATATGTACGAAATTGAAGGGTCGTGCCGTGTTGTCGTAAAAAGGTAGCTCTGCATGTAGTCCCCGTGATTTGATTTTTAATATTTAAACAAAATAATCTAGTAAAAGTTATTGAAACTGCGAGTGCGTCAAATTGCTTTTAAAAACAGTTTTACTGGCCAACTATAAATTTAATGCATATTACCACATTGTATAAAAAACCTCGCTCTCTATGTCCCTATATCCCTATGTATGCTTAAATCTTGTGAATTACGCTAGGGATTTTAAAGAGGTTTTTAATAGATAGAGTGATTGAAGAGGAAGGTTTATTTAGTATCATCATCACCCATATGTTGCTGGAGCGGATAATAAACAATTTAAATACAAGCAAATTACATATAAACAATATAACATAAAAGAAACATTTATAAATTAAATCATGAAAAAATAATGTAGTTCACAATAATAAATATTGGAAATTGTAAATACGTAGATAACCAGAGCAGGGAGCGCCTATCAATTTGAAGATATTACCACTTTATTGCTTCTCAAATAAAAGGAAATAAGTATAAAATTGATTCCCTACTACGTAGGCCATCGAAAGTATTATTATTTATTCATTTCATTGAACTGTACAAATATGAGCACTTCCCTATGTACTTAAGGTAATTGAAAATAAAATAATGAACACGTAAAACTCGATTAAGGTGAATAAATGTTATACAGATTCAAATTTACATTTAATGGGTTTTCGAGAGGTGGAAACAAGGGCTTATATCCCCGCAATTACATACTTACCGATCGATTCAAGACGAATTGACGAATGTTCGACAGATCTTCAGCTACGAATGTATACATATAGCTCAGTATGCTTATCGAGCTTTGCAATTCCACAATTTGGTTTTGCCAAATTAATGAAACTTACAAATCTGTTAAAGCAAGACAATTTGTGACAACATAGTGAACTGTCACTATTGCATCTATTTGCAACCATTTAACCTAAGTTTAAAGCTAGTTCGCATGGTAGAAGTACAAAAATTAAGTTAAGCACGGAAACCTATTCTTAGTTTTACTTTTTTATTTGATAGTTCGGTAAACGAGCAGACGGGTTACCTGGTGGTAAGCAATCAACGCCGCCCATGAACACCCGCAACAAGTAGAGCAGAGACACGTGCTTTGCCGACCTTTTGGGGGTTGGTGATTTGGAGATTTAGGGATTGGGGAGGAATTGAGGGAGGGGAAGAATTGGGCCTCCGGTAACCTCACTCACACGGCGAAAACCAACGCTGTAGTTGTTTCACGCCAGTTTACTGCAAGGCCGTGGTGTCACTCCAGTCGAGCCGACCCATTCGTGCCGAATCATGGCTCTCCCACACTAAGACTATACTAACAGCATTTACTTATTTCGTAACGCATTATATGTATCGCTATTGGTTCTCTGAATAACTAAAAAGAAATAACAATATTGACCATACCACCTCAATTTCAGGTCGTCGATGGACAGAAATGGAATTAGATGAAGAAGATGAAGTGTGCGTCGGTCGCAGCGATTCTACATCATCATCAGGCCGATCGGAGTGTGGGGACGAGTTTCGAGCTCGAGCTAGCACGGACTCACGACTCCCGCCGAGGCCTGCGAGGCCCAGACACCCCCTACCGACACGACCATTCCCTGCACCAGTCAGAAGAATGAGCGTCGCCATGAGGGGGAACAACGCTAGCACGTATTAAAACAGAACTACTGTTATATGACCAAAGTTTAATATAATATTATGTATATGTAAAGTACGAGTGAATGTTGTGTGTACACTTGGTGTAATGTCAGACCCATAGAGTACATTATATAATAGGGAATGGTCAGACCCTTACAATGTCAAACTGAAAGACAAACTGGCATAGATACAATGTTAAATCAATCATCTTATACATTCATTAGAAACTAGTCTTATACAGTATTATGTTACCAAAAGATCTGCAAGATTCTAGAAAATAATTACATTAATGTATTCTAGTTTTATTTATTATTTTACTTGAATATTCAATTACCTGCTGCTTTGATCGTAGGCAACTGTAAACTAAAGTGGGAATAAATACCAACATACGCCATCAAAAAACTAAAAACTTAGCCTTTACCTTTTTCCATTCTTCACTAAACTAAAAACTCTTTTCTTACATAATTATCATTTATTCTCTACGATCCTTCGAAGTATTCAACTTCTTTGTCTCCCTCACACGATTTTCATCCCTTCTCATTACATGACCGTAGCAAGAAAAACGCTAACTTTTCGTTTTTCTACAACCACCACCACTTTCAGACTTCCTCTACATATTCAGTTTTTATTCTAACCGTTCTTGTTTCCACACCACATTTTTAATAAAACGTCGAGAAGATCTGAAAGACGGTTAAAAAAATTCGAGAGTGCAACGCGAAAAATAAAATTGAAAATCTTGATGGTGCACCAATTCTAAACTTCCTTTTACACTTTTTTTGTGAATAATGAAGAACCAAATTATATCGTTAGATGTAATAAAAACTCTTTCAATACCAGAACAATGATGCTTCGTTTTATTAAAAAAAAAGAAAATTAATAAAAATATTTTCTGTCCTTGTGCTTATTAAATTACATGACATATAACGAGGTATGATATTTTCAATACATTAGTATTACGAAATGTAATCCCAACAACTTTACATAATATGAGCAAACAAGTATGTGTACCCGGTATTATATTAATAAACTTTGTTTAGCGGTCGTACCACGAACAAAGGAGATATTTCATAAAAGGGACGCTACGCTAACGTTCCAGTTTTTGTCATGTTCATTTAAATTTAAATTAAGTTCGAGAAACCCCTTAACTATTTTTTTTTAAGTTTTTATTATTTACAATTTATGGTGGCACACCAAAATAATTTTAATTAATAAATAAATAAATTATAAAAAAATACTTATCCTTAATTCTGCATTATCTATACTTCTTCCTTGAAATTTTTAATAGGCTATTTACAAATGATCTACACAACCCTTAATTTAATTTATGTTATGTTTTGGAAAACGACCGAGAATGTACAAAAAAACGTTACCTATATCAATATCTTTATTTTTGTATACGACGAAATTCTAAAACTAAATCCCTTGTAGTTATATTGTAATTAGGTACTTACTATTTTATTAAATGCATTATGTTCATTGTAGGTATGCCTATTTTAGCAGCTTTAATTTTAGTTCTAAACTTTTTATTTAAACTTAAACAAAGTGTATCCAAATACAATGGCTTACGCAAAATGTTATTGAATTTACCAACATGGACGAAATTAATTTAATACGAGAATAAAAAAAAAATCTTTGTGAGAAATAAATTACCCACTAAGTGTTATTATACGACTATGGCATGTTATACATTAGCATCGATAAGATATGTACCTGATTATGTAAATGTCAGATGTTAACTTAAACATGATATGAAAATATTTAACACAGAAATTTTATATTTTATTTTTCTTTCTAACGTATTTTATTCGTTTCAGTTGTTCCAAATCAATACACAAAGTTGTCGAATCCCACATTTTATTTCGTTTGAACCGCATTTAAGTACGACACAAAGCTTTGAAACCAAACGAACTTCGAATAATCGTTTCAAGCAAGTAAGCAAATAGATATTTTTTATAATGTTTCGAGTATGGAAATATTTTTAACTTTATCTGCTCTTTGATTCAATTTAACTAAAATGTAGGTCAACATTTGTTTGTAGATAAGAACATTCGAAGATACTTATCCAGTTAGGGACGTTCATGATAATACAATTCAAAGCGTACTCAACAGATTGCTAAAAATTAACATTTGAATAGAGTAGGTATACTAAGATTTTTTTGTTATGTCTATCCTGACCCCCGGAAGGAACCGAACCGTGCAGCGGGAGTGATGACCCCTAGATATCCTTTGTTTGTTCAAACAAATGGTCACTGATTTGAGGTCACACATATGGGTCATATAAATTGATAAATAAATGAGCTATTAAATGGCGAGGAATGTTTCCTAAAAGAATATTATGATAATTTAGTTTGCTATCAACATTTTTATTAATATGCTCCCTATATGTGAGCTTCAAAGACGTTTTTATGAAGCAGCCTATTAACATAACAAAGGAATGTGATGTATGGAGGATATTCATTCGGTAAGTACTTTATACCGTAAAATGCTGATATAGAGCAGCCGAACCTACGGGAAAATTACTCATCTTAAGGTCAAAATGATACGGCGCGCGACTCGTGCATCCATTAATTTTATCATATTACCTATCTAACACTATTTGATTTGTTTACATTTTCATGAAAGCAGGAGCTCTCCATGACCCCTGGTCTCTTCGAGACAAGATTAGAGCTCGTAGCTCGCCGCTGACGCGTCTTGCACGCCATTACGTTACCGAGACGTGTCCGTGATAGATAAAGCTTAGACACAAAGCTATTGAATACCAACTACTTCATTGTAACTGCTGTGCACACCCACCGATGTTGCAGCTCGCATTTCCAACGTAGAAAAACCTATAATTGAAATTTGTGGACACACGCCTTCGCAGTTCGCTCGTGATTGGAAAGGTAAAACTTTAGTAATACAGATGTGACCTTACATCACATCGCCTATTCTATTCTTCATTTTCATCTCGCATTGGTGGCCACACAAGTACAAAATCTATTTTTTCATACCTCATGCCTCAATTCACGTCAGAGGCTTATGTACCTATGTACTTTTCCAGTTCAATCTTGGGATTGCTATTTGCTAGCCAATCAAACGATAAAGTAATTTAAACAAATAATGAGCATACATTGATTACTTTATAATAATAGGCAAGAATAACAAATAATTCTCGCTAATAAATCAGCGACCTTCACAGAACAAATGTATTGTCTTAACAATATAAATCATGTGCATGATATTATCAGATGATTAATTTGATCTATGGCCTGGAGATTACCGACTACTATAGATCAAATTACCGAGACTAGACAATCACAATAACAATTAGATCGACAAGTTATTTATATGCAAATCATGTTCGAACATGAGTGACATTAGACCCGGAGGGCGGAAGGTTATTTATAATGATTATTAAATTGCCATATTTAGAATATTTCGCATAGAAATAGGCGATAGTACGTAGGTAACTACCTAAATATGTTAATTATGTTTTTTATCATATAGCAATGTTGTTGAAGCTACAAAAGTATTACCATTAAGAAATCAACGTTTTATTAAAAAGTTGATTAGTGATTGACTTAATTGTGTAAGTATGGATTTAACTTAAACTAAAACAAACGACAAACGCCTATCTTACTTCTTATGCTAAAGTTACGATGTTTGGATGTTTTTTGACTCAATCGCGCCAAAACGGCTGGACGGATGTGGATGAAATTTGGCACAGGCATAGGATACGGAATAGGACATTGGCTACTACTACTTTTTATCAACATAACACGCGGTCGGAAGCTATTTTGCTATAAGACTAGACTACGTTTCTTTTAATGGCACCTTCAAGGACAACTTAGTCTTCAAAGTAAATAAGGTTAGACCTTCAAAAGGCTTATTTTGAGTGGATGAATCTACTGGCCTAAAACTACCCCGTTCCTTATGCTACTATGAGCTGGGGTCGCGACACATTATAGCTCGACATCGACTCTATTGGGCCACATCTGCTTACATGGCTTTTTGAGGAGTGCGCGGAAAGCAAAGTAACTTCCGCTCTCTGAAGACCCTCAATAGACTGGTAATACCTCCATTTTTTTATGTAATAGATCGGCAAACGAGCAGACGGATTACCTGATGGTAAGTAATCAGCGCCGCCCATGGACACCCGCAACGGAGGACGAGTTATGAGTGCGTTGCCGACCTTTTAGGGATTAGGGATTTGGAGATTTAGGGATTGAGGAGGGATTGGGGGTGGGGAAGGAGGAAGAAACACAACGCTGTGGTTGTTTCACGTCGGTTTTCTGTGAAGCCGTGGTATCACTCCGGTCGAGCCGACCCATTCGTGCCGAAGCATGGCTCTCCCACATTCCATGGTTTAGAAACCAGGCCTCGCTCTACCTTAAAACCCGACTAGTGAGATTGCTACATGCGACGATGAAGTTAATTAACCACTTATAAATTAAGTCAATTGACGTAAAAGACCCTCTAACAGAAATGCAATGTTGAAGACAGGAATTAAAAAATACAAATAAGTTAGTATTCAAGTGTCGTCGAAAATCATTTTTAGCCCTATGAGAAATCCTTTTCTTCCTAATGTCTGTTCCTGTATAACATTTATTTTAATGTGAATATAATAAAGATGTATGAAAGCGACATGGGCTACCTTTAGCTGCGATGTTTGTTTAATGGCGCAGACGTGAGGGCCCTGTCTGACCGCAGGATATCGGCAGGGCCACTTGCTGTGGATTAGCGAAACCGGGTCGCGGCGGCACGCATCGCATGCACATCCAGTAAACCAATTACGTTCACTTTTCAAATGCAGCTTAGCTAAGATGTTAATCTTTTCTTGATGTTTGCAGTTCCCTCATTACAATGTGATTGATATTAGATATAATAACCTGATTCACATGTCTCACATCTGATAACTATGTCTTTGCCTCTAAGAAGCAACTTTTGTATTTCATTTGTTTGACAATAAGTTACCAAAATCAGTCAAAATGGCATAACACGCTTGTACTCCTAGGCCAGGAGATATCCACCTGGTCACAACTGCTATACAGCCAACCACCGTTGTATGTAGTCTTGTAAAAAGTACTTTATCATAGCTCCTAGCAGGTGATTCAAACTAAGGTAACTTGACCGA